TGACAAGAATGAACTTCTCCGTAGACCGGGTGGAACTTCGGTTGAACCGCAGTGCAAGAGTAGACGCGTCGTACGTGGAGATTTGGAAGAGTCGTCGGCTATCCGCGCGGATTCGCCAACGTGCGAACTAGAAGGGCTAAGGTTGATAGTGTCATGGGCCGCCGGCACAAAGGAGACTCAAGTGTTTCGACATTACATCCGCGTACTTCCGGGGTCAGGAACTCGACCGCCTCATGCTGCTCAAGCCACCGTCCGACGGACTCGAAGGAGTGCCGGGTGGTGGTGCACTGATCGGGCGCATGCCTGTCCATGGCGCGCGTGGCGCAGGACGAAGTTTATGGGTGAAAATTCGCAAAAGGTTTGAAGCTCATGGTCTAGGGGGGGATCGTATCATGCCTGCTTTGTTCAGTATTCACAATGACAAGTATGAGATCACGTGTATGTGTGTATGTTAGGTGCACATGTAGATGACATACTATGGGCTTCACATGATAAAAGTCAGCAAATCATCGGTTCGATATTGGCAGAATTTGATATTGGCGAGTTCAAGTCGGATAATTTCCGTTGTCGTGGTTCAGAAGTTGTTCAAGGTGAATATTTCGCGGTTTCATCGCGGCCGAGAACAATATTGATAATATTGAAGCTGCATCCTAGCTTAGAGACAGTCTCCCCACGAGAACATGCAATGAGGGTGGGGCAGCACAGCTCAGATTGGTCGCGCGTGCTTTGTCATGGGTTACACGTCGGTGTAAACCTGAGCTATTGTATCGCGTGCGCAGACTGCGCGCAGCTGTGCGTCACGCTGAGGCACTCCATCTCAGGTGGGCCAACCGTGTATTTGAAGAAGCATCTCACTCCGCTGACTGTGGATTTGCATTTGAAGGTGGATCTGTGAAGTGGAATCAATATGTGTTACTTCTTACCGTTCCTGACGCCAGCTGGGCATGAGAAGAGGATATAGTCAAGGGTCGAATCGAGCCTCTGAGATCACAAAGGGCTAGGTCCAATGGGCTCGCAGGGCCTGGATTCATCGAAGGGAACAGTGAGCATATTCACCTTAAATGTATATCTAGTAAAGTATGTAAATCTACACTACAAGCAGAGACTCTGGCTTGTTTATGGGGTGTAGAAACTGGTGTGCGCATTCGTGCCGCTATCGCAGATGCGCGTGGCGTGTCAGGCGCCGGAGGGAAGCTGCCAGCCATTTGGGAAGACAAATCAGCCATGTCTATGGCACATTTACGGAGGATGGATTGTAACAACCTTGAAGAACACCTAATAGCCCCAATTATGGGCAAGACAGAAGATAGCGCTTGAGTGTAGATCTAGGCTTTTTGAAGACAGGATATTTGGACGAATGGAATGGAAGAAGTAGAAATCTTACATCCATGCATAATTTGTGATTAGATCCGATGGACCAATGCAAGTTTTATGGCTGTTGATTGTCTGACTAAGAATATGCCAACGCATTTCCTTGTTAAGATCGTGCGTGTAAGTTCGTATGACGTAACCCAGACCCTGAAACTACTTGAAGGAAGGTGAAGAAGCAACTGGCGAGGGCCAGAGTGAATGCTCTCCATCGGGGAAGTGAGTGACAGAATCCTGGCTGCCTTTGACTTGAGTAGTCCCAACATTGGAGTACTCCTTTTACTGCCCCCTAGGAGGCTTACTTAGACCAGCGGTACTGCGCGGTGTGCCGGCTAGCTCGTGATAAAGTTTCACGGGTGTGAGATTGTGCGTGCGTGACGTGTGTATATCCACTTTTCGCCGCCATTCGCCGCCGTCTGACCTCTAGGGGCCCCTTTTTGCCATTGCGCTAAGACGCGTCATAGTCACACTGATGCTGATGCTGGTGGTGATGCTGATGATGTTGATGCTGATGATGGTGATCATGATTGATGATGATGATGATGATGATGATTATGATGATGATGATGATGATGATGATGATGATGATGATGGTGATGATGATGATGATGATGATGATGATGGTGATGATGATGATGATGATGATGATGATGATGATGATGATGATGATGATGATGATGATGAAAAAGAAGCCAGAGAAGGGGACGGGAGGGTGAGTGACGAGGGAGTCTGAAAAGGAAAAGGCGGATGGTCTATGTGGATGGAGGATGGAAGAACACGAGGGTGATGCGAATGAAGAGCGTTGCCCTTGCAGTGCGCTGCTGGCAGATTTGCTTGCGTTGCAGTCGCTACAGAGATCAAAGGGCCGGTGATGATTGCAAACACCGTTGCGGCATGATGGGTACATTTTATCGAGAGGACTTCGTTGTCACATCCTGTCAATCATAATTTGAAGGGACTTGAGAAAAACACATGCTCGCCGATCGTGCGGCTGGGCAGGGCCCTGGATTCTTCTTCAGTCGAACCATGACCTTCCTGCCACAGACGCCACAACCAAGGTTCGTTTCTTGCTGCGAAACAGGAACATCATGGATCATACCACCCGCTATCCAGGGCCAGCTCCGGGCAGGCACGGAATCAACTATGAGAGGTTGCAGCAGCGCGTCACTGATTGGGCTCGGGCACGGATTTGCTTTGCGTTGCCCTGGTCCTTCCCCGCCCCGCCGTCTGTGAATGCGCGCGGGGCAGAGTCTGCGCAGACCGATCCAATAGGCGCCCTGCCGTCGACTCTTTTCGCGTGCCTGTTGGTGCGAAGGGGTTTACGGGCGTTCCGCGTGTGCGTTCGTGCGTGCCGCCCTGAGTGTTCCGCTCCGCACCGGGCTACGTTCGTTGCTTTGTGTTTGCCGTCGCAAGTGGCACAGCATGCCCCTGCCTGCTCGGCGTCCGACGGGCTTCGTGCGCCCGCGAACCAAGAAACATGTGCGTTCGTTTTTTTGTTGGTTTGTGTGTGTGTGTGTGTGTGTGTGTGTGTGTGTTTCCGCAACGTCAATGGACGCTTTCGAAGTGCAGGGGGGCGGATCGCGTCGCCTGGGCGCTCGGCGACGAGGTGGGCTCTTGCGTGGGAGCGCTGGCGTGGCTCGGCAGCGGCCGCGCGCGTTCTCCTCCCCTTCCTCCTCTTCCTCCTATCCTCCTCCTCCTCTTCCCTCGGTTTTTTGCGCGGCTTTGCGCCCGTGTCCACCCCGGCCTCGCCGATCCGATCCACGATTCAGGCCGCTCGGTGGGGGGGGGTTTAATTCGGTTCGGAAGTCGTCGAGCACGTGCAGCAATGCGAACCCTACTGCCGCCTCCCATCGAGTCAGGAAGCTCGTTAGTCAGTGGGGGTTGGGGTTCGGATGTCGCCACCTAGCAGCGGCATCCCTGTCGGTGGGCGCTCCCCGCGCGCGCCGCTTCTCGTCGGCGATCATCCAGCCAGCCACCCCCCCCGGCCCACTCCCTCCCCCCCTTTCTTCAGCCGCCAAATCTTGAGGAACAAGTCGCCGTGACCAGGGTTGGCAGAGGGTTCGGCCCAGGGGGTTGCCCAGGGGGTTGGCCAGCGTTGGCCAGAGGGTTGGCTTGGGTACTTCGATCGGTATACGTAGCTATATTGATTATAGTACCCAGGCGTTGGTCGTGCGATCGTCTCGGCGCAGACACGCTCAACCACGGACACCGGGGAGTCAGGATGGCGAAGACACTTGGGGGAAAGTTGTGTTGGCGCCTGCGGCAGGCTTCTCCAGAGTCTCGCAGACTGCCGACGTCCTCACCGCCCCCTCTCTCTTATCCGCATC